ATATGTAATTTAAAAGCAAGCTTTTCTTTGTAAAAACTTCAATTGAATTTCAATAAAATTAAAGGCATGGCCTCACCGTTAATATTTAAAAAAAAAAAAAAAAACCATTCTCCGCTTTCAATATTAGTTGAAGGATTAGAAGTTTCTTCAACAAAAGAAAATTCTTCTTGCTCCTTTTCGAATGCTTCAAAATCGAAAAATTCATCCATAACAGAAATTTCATTTTCAATACTAACAGTTTCAATTTGTTCATCTATTTCGTCGAATCCTTCGTCTTGTTCTAGTTCATCTGTCTTGTCAAAAAATATGTCGATACTTTCTTCAGAAGATTCAGGTATTGAAATAGTTTTTTTTCCTTTTTTCTTTTTTTGGGAGGCAGCTTGTTGAAGCTCATTTTTAATCTGCCCAAGTTTAGAAAGCGTGTTGGGAGAAAGGCAATTTCTTGTTTTAGTTTTAGTAAGGCCCAAAGAAGAGAAAAGTCGTTCACAAGCCGCTCCATGAGGTACAATAGCAAAAACTTTCATGACAAATTGGCGAAGAAGGGGTGAATTTCCAGTAAAATTTGCCCAAAAAGATCTAGGTGACTGTTGAAAGTTAGTACTAATACGGTTGAAAGGAGGAGCGCCATCTTTGTAACTATTCAACTCTTTAAGAAGCAGACTAGCATCCGGTTTTTTAAAGTTCCAGACTCTGGCTAACTCCAAACATCCACGCACAAGACATTCTCCATTCATATACCTTGACATGGCCATTTTTTTGTAAGTTGGAGAGAGAAATAGAGCAACAAAATAAATATCATCAGAAAATTCTCTTGCTCTTTGGCTGATAACAGCCAATACATGGGCTTTGAAACCGGGAATAGGAACTTCAAGTCTGGATACTTCATGATGGACATATATTAATTCTTTAAAAACATTAGCCAAAGTGGCATCTCTTGATTCAAGCCTACCAATCACATCAACGACTGGTGTAATAACTTGAATCAGTGTATCATTGCTGGCAAAATGATACCTGTCATTAATAATATTTTTAATATTTTCTCTAATTTCTGAATAATTTGTTTTATCAGATTTGCTTAACCTAAGACAGTATAGAAAACCTCTTTCAAAGATGGATACACCCAAGCAGACCTTAGCAATAGAGTACCACCTTATTTCACAAAATGTACTCAAAAAATAGGAAACACTATTTTCTTTTTGCCAAGTTTGCAAAGCCCGTTGCCATATATGCGAAGTAGTAAAGAAATTTACAAGTTTTTGATTCTTATTACAAGTAAGAACAATACCAGTAAAGCCAGCAATATTCTTTACAATAAGATTAAACGCGTGTAAGCAACATCTAATGGGGATAATACTTTGATATTTATCCTAAGAAAAAAAAAAAAGTATTAAAAGTACTGGCAGAATTTAAAAATTTTGCCATGTTGAACGGCAAGATTCAAATGCCACTCAAACTGTCATTCAAATGGCGGTTTGAGTGGCATTCGAATCTTGCCATTCAACATGGCAAATTTTAGTAATATTTTATTAATATTTTTTACTTACATTTAGAAGATTTTTTATTGACACCATTACAGGAGGATTATCGGTAACGCATGCGATCGCAGATGACATTTTAAATCCATTACTAATAAAAACTTCTTGTATTTTGTTCATAATAAAGGTTGCTTTATGATGATTTGCAGATAAGTCGACAATATCAGTGACATGTTCCTCACGTTCCTTAAGAATCATAAATCCATAGATAGAGTTCCCGGATATGTCTGTCCAGCCATCTAGACATATAGTAGCATCGGTAAAAGTTGACATAATGGTTAACTTTTTTTGAAGATGATTAGAGAATGTTTTTGTCAAAATACGTCCTCGTAACATATCAAGGGAAGGAGGTTGATAACTAGGAGCCAATTCTTGAAGAAAGTCTTGGAAATATGGATTATTAACGAGATTGAAAGAGAGATTACTATATATAATAGCATTTAGTAGTTTTAAATGAAGTTTTTCAAATTGCGTGAAAGATATAGGTTTACACCAATTTAAAATATTTTCCTGTTTCGCAGATGGCCCAGCTAATTCAGACGTAGTCTCAGATGTAGTTTTAAACATAGTTTCAATTGAGTCTTTCTGGCTAGGCTTATTTCTCTTGTAGGTGGGGGTTGTTTCTTCATTAACTTTTTTAATATAGCTAGCTTTTTCAGTAGCCGGCCAGCTACTACATCTGAGAACATGTTGGTGAAGCCTATTAGGCTTGCCTTTTTGCTCAAGTAAGCAATACTTGCACTTCACAGTATACCTATTACCCATTTTTTTTTCTACAGAACGATAAAAACCCACCCATCGATGGCCTTGAGTAGGAAGTGGTTGAGTAAAACCTGGAGGCGGCTGCATGGTTTGTAATTAATTTTATTTATGATTGAATTTGTTAATTTTTTTTTTATAATTTTAGGTATGTTGTAATCGAATTGCTAAGAGAATATTGACTTTTATTGGAAGATAAGTTCAAATCTGCCTCTAAAAAGTTCTTTTTACATGCTTTATATATATTTCAGCTACTAATATCTAACTATCTATTTTTAGACCTCTATACTATGTAACTGAAACTATTTATTGGACCTCTCTTTGAACAAACCTGATCAAAAAATTGATACCGATACTGTGAAGGGTTTTTAATACTAAAAGGACGAACTTATGCATAACGATTTTATGCATAATGATCTTATGCATAACGATTCTATGCATAACGATCTTATGCATAACGATCTTATGCATAACGATCTTATGCATAACGATCTTATGTGTAATGACAGTACTATATCTACAGTTGGGTAATAGCAATATATATAATGATAAAGAAACTAATAAGTAATAAAAAAATATATGAGTTATAATCCTTTGCGAACATAATGCAAAGGGTTTGGTGGCACCACATGATCAGAGTAGCATACATGTTATGTTTATGAGATGCTTATTACAATTTTTAAATTTAATCTGGGCCGTTGATTCAGATTTCTTTATTTATTATTTATTATGTAATTAACATTTGCCTGTCTCTACATATTAATCAAAAAAAAAATATTCAAGCAATTTTGTACATGCGTTCATTGTATCTGGTTTGGTGGTGATATTAGTTATCCAAGAAAGTACTGTAAAATCCAGACACGTGTACCCCGGGTATTTTCATTATTTGATTTAGTATCTGGGGTACCTCTATATGGGGTACACCATATAGACAATATGTTCTACTATATCTTATCTGAGATAATACATATAGCATGTATAAGACTCATGTACCCGGGTATAAGTCACAAACTGGCGTATCAAAATGGCAAAGGATACACCACATGGGGGGTACACGTGCCAGATTTTATGGTAGTCTCTTTAGTTATATAATTAGATTTGATAATTATAAGAATAAAATAAATATATATTATACATTATAGTTTATAAGTTTTTTAATAATTAGTTTATAAGTTTTTTAATAATTAGTAGTAGGGTTAGGGTTAGGGTTAGGGTTAGGTTAGGGCTAAATAAGGGCATGCCTTTTGACTTTGGGGCATGCCCCATGCCCCTGTGCCCTAAACCCTAATCAGATGTAATGTAAAATCAAAACAATCGAATTAAGTAAATAATTTTAAAGTAAAAAACATTATCTTAAAGTTAGGATAAGTAATAAAAAAGAACATAGCTTATACTAAAATTTTACAATAAAATTTTTTTCTTAGAACACAGAAAGCAGTTTCATAGATAACATTTCGAGTTAAATGGTGATTTTTTAAAAAGACATGATTTTCATATTACATCTGATTCTTCAATCTAATTGCCTAAAATCATGTACCAAAAAAATTTTGTAAGTGAGCTACAGAGGTTCACATTTACCTCATACAAGTTATGTAAACATAATTAAAATCTCAATATATAAAGACAGTAACTGCCATTAATATTAGCCTTAGCAAAAGCAAAAAATATATATAATAAAAATAGATCAAAACCAAAATTTAAAAATTTGAAAAAAATTTTTAATTGTCAAATTTGACAGCTAAATTGAATGGTTTAAAGAATAAAAAAAATTTTAACTATGATTAAAATTTAAAAAAAAACTTTTTTTTAATTTGATTTAAAAACTTAAATTCTATTTTAATAAAAATTTTAATTTAAAAAAATAAATTTTTTATATTACTTTACTATATACTATATTAAAAAAAAAAAATCTTGTGTAACTATAATAAAAATAACTTCCATAATAAAAAAAAATTTTCCTATATTTATATTAATTTTAATATAACTAAAAATTAAAAAATCAACCTTAATACCAAAAAAAAAAAAAAAAAAAAAAATTAAAAAATCATTATATATTTTAATAAGACTAAAAGGTTAAAATTCAAATACGTATCACAATATAATCTTGATTTTTAATAAATGTTAAATGCATCACCTACTTAACCCTTCTAACCCCATCACTAGCTCTCTAAATTTTTTTTAATAAGCAAAAAAAAAATAAATAAATTCAACATATTGCATAACACTATTATACTCTGTTATAATAAGCATCTATATTTTATATATATTTTTTACAATAGAAATTACATATTAAAATGTACAAGTTGATAATACTTGCGTGCTTTATATAAATGATACTAGCATTGATAAACATCCTTTTTGTACATTATATTAACGATTAAAATGTCAAAAGACTTCTAGCTATTACAAAACCATGTTTCGATAAATTATACTCACGATTAATAGAGCCATCATATTTAGCTATGTGGAACTCTCTTTTTCGCCGTTGGAGAGGGACGGTTAGTTGGTTTGGAGCCTGTGACTTCTGTTCTACGCTGTTTTTTTAGTTGTCCAAGTGGCACCATCTCTGAGTCAATACTATCTATATAATGAACCTTTTTTGAAGTTGTCGATGATGCTGCAGACGAACTAATCTCAGCTTGTGGCGATGTCAACTTTCCGGTCTTAGAGTTGGTTGATTTTTTCTTTTTAGGTTCTGCTTTTTTTACTCCTGAGTCCGATTTCTTTTGAGCCTCTTGCTCTAATTTCTTTGCTTCTTTAGCCTCTTGAGCACGCCGCTTTTGATGCTCTATTTCTGCTTTCCGAGCCTCTTTAGCCTCCGCCTCTGCCTTTTTTGCAGCTTCTTTTTCTAATTGTTTCTGTCGCTTTTGTTCATTCTTTTCAGCTTTTTTTCTTTCACGTTCTTCCACTTTAAGAAGTTTAATTCTTTCCTTTTCTTTTGCAATTGCTGCATCTCGTTCTTTCTTCTTCTTTTTTTCTGCAAGAGCTGCAGCAGATTGTGCGCTGGACTTTTGCAGCTGCCTTCGAGGTTGTGGAGGAATTTTACCAGTAGGAGGCACACGAGGCCTTTGGTTGCGGTGTTTAGCAGGAAGATTTTCATCCTAAACATAACGTTAATTTTAAATATGGAAGTTTATTTTTATTTTTTTGTAAATATACATTTACCTCAATTATTTGGTCGTTCATAGAGTCATTTTTTTTGTTACGGAAAAAGTCTCTTAGCAAACCAATCTGACTTTCTGGATCGGTTATTGGTGCCCATGGTGGTGGTGGAACATGACGAGGTACTATGTATTAGATGCAAAAAAATTTATAAATATTGGTGCAGTGCCAAAAGAAATTACAAATAAGCGGAATAGAAAAAAAACATACATTTTCGTTCATTTTGTTCTGAGGCTTTTTTAGGTAAAGGTTTTATCCTTTTCGATCCGAGAATTAATTGTGGAGGAACCTAATTGTGGTATTTTGCAATAAACACGTTGATTATTACATATATTTTCATTAAGTAAATATATATATGTATATTTAACAATTTATATTTTACCTGTAAAGGACCTAAACCTAGTTCTTTGAATCCGAAGAAATCATCTTGTAATTCTCCGCCGAACACACCCCTGAATAAAAAAAAAACTATCATTCATTGATTTAAATTACGTTCCTAAATAATCAATATAAAAAAATACGTACGTCAAAAATGCATCATCATTATCAGGGATGTCATCTACGATTTCTTCAGGTTGCTGTTAAATGTTTGTAAATAACGGATTTGCAAAAATTATAGTGAATAATGAAGAATTTAAAGATTATTACCAATAACGCAACCTCCAATCGGCGCTTAATATCTTGTAGTTTCGTGCCATAGCGTTGAATATCATCATGAATATATGACTCAAGATTCTTTACGGATGAAACACCATTTTCATACAACGTGTGATTGATCATTTCCTAACAGGCATAGGAAAATTTAATAATTAAAATAATCAAAAAAGGGTTATCCCGATTTCAAGGTTACATAATCTATATATTATACCTCGGGAGTCATCTTCTTACTATAATCATCCATATATGCGCGTAAAGTTTTACTCAAATTCAAGAAGTAATCTTGAGCAACTTCAGTTAAAATGGTCAAAGCCCTACTAGAAGTTGCTATTGAGTAGATAATGATAATGGATAAGATAATCACATAAAATTATAGTTATTTAAAACTTTGAATTTACCTTCAAATCCTGCGTGTTGACACAACCTAGAAACAACGCGTTGCATACAAGCAAAACCGGTTTCTTTATTCAAGATAAGGGGCGGCAGATCCTTTTGGTCAATTGTAGAATTAATTATTGGCGTTTCTTCTAGAGACTTTTCTGAAATACCAAGATGACTCAACTAAAAAACAATGTACATAACGTGAAACGCAAATTTACGAATAATAAAATGATATCAATTATCATAATATAAGGTTTACCGGAATATTATGCCTCGCAGACACAAGTTTGGCATGAAGAATACGGGATTGCTTAAGAGTTTCAATATTTTTCTCGATCATCGCACTAGTACCTTGTTTAGTGAATTGAAGTTGGGGATATTGATCAAGAGTCGGCAGATCGGCGCTATTTAAATAAAGAAAATAAGACATTATAATGTGTTCTCGTAATAAAAATTAATACAACATAAAAAGTACCTTGGATCATAGTCTGAATTAAAAAATTTATCTCGATTTGGATTATCTAGTTCAGGATCCCATAATGGTAACGTAGGGACCAGTCTTATGTTTTTCAGCATTTCTTGAACCTCACGGTCTGCTTCCTTTTCATCATCATCTGATGAATTCTCTTGGGACGCTTGAGAGTGCCCAGTCGTATCTGCTATTTGAGCATCTTCTATTACAACATCATTACCCGGTGGTTCATCTTCCGTAATAGAACAACATTTCAGTATCTTTTAATGTGCCATATAAGAAAACAGTAGTGAACGATTGCTACCTTCTACTTGCAAAGAAGCGCTCGAGGCACTTTCAGTATGTTGGTCTAATGATGGAGATTTTTTTTCCACCTTAAATAATTCTCCATAATCTTGTTTCAAACTTGCTTTATATTCTGCAAGGGTTTGAATTTTAACATCCGGAACAGCTTCAAGCAGTTCATCCATCTTTTCTTTCATGGCTATGGCGTACTTTCGAAAGATATTGTCCTGTTTGTTTTATCAAAAATTATTTGACCGCATGATCTATAATAACTTAAATAGTAACATGCCTAATAAAATTCTTACTGGATGTGTATTATAGGTGATACAATTTGTATAAATTAAATAAAGATCGTTTGCAAATTCCTCTTTACTGTTGTAAGAACGATTTTTTAATTTTTTAGCGATAGTTCCGAGATCCATAGGATTCTTTATAACTGAACATAAAAAAATTTAATTCAATAACAATAATAAAAAAACTCATATATATGATCTAAATAATCGTGTGCAAATAACCTTCATTATAATCCGGTGCTTCTTTTTGATTTACCTTTTTTTGAAAAGGTGAAGAATACGGCTAAAGACAATCAAAAATATGTCAATAAAAAACAAAGCACTCTATTAAACGAACAAAATAGCACACATTACTTACATAATAATTTTTTAAATTATTTAAAACCTTATCTATTGCTTCATAAAGCATAGCTTGATTCACTCTATCAGAATCTGCCTTTTGAACGATAAAAGATCATAAAATACGAAGAAAATCATGAACATTTATCAAATTATTAAACATTCACTAACATTCACATGATAAATCAACTACCTACGTATCTCGACCCGATACTTCTCACATCTGTCAACAGCATTTTGAGATCGCTATCTGATAGACGTGATTTTTCTCTGTTTTTCTCTAAGTGTGAAATTAGATACTATACACAAAATATAAGATTAATATATAATTGATAAATAATTAATATGTTATTGCCTACCTTCATTTTGGGATCAAGCGCACTAAGTACAGACTAATGGACAACATTTTTAAGCTCAATTAAAAGAGGATTGCGCTGCGAGCGTTTCAACATGACACTAGAAGGAAAAAGGAATACAAACTGTAACTCACGAGAGAGGATCGTTTTGAATTGCTTGACTCGCCGTTATTTTCGACGTTGTTTAAAGTAGACATCTTTAACAAGAAAATTGGTTCTCACAATGTGAGTTCAGTGATTACAAGAACGAGACAACGTTGTGATATTAAATGTGTTTGCCTTTATCGTTATTACGCCTAAATATAGAAGCTTTGCTTGTCGTTATTGCATTTTCCAGAATAACCATCAAAATTTCCCATTTTACATGATAGGATTCGGGTAAATTACACTAACGCTAATTTTATGTATGTACATACATACCAAAATTCGGTATCAGTTCCATTAATAAAAATTCACAATATCGAAAATTTGAGTTTGACTTCACTACATCGAAAATTTGAGTTTGACTTCACTATATCGAGAGTTCACTATAGTGAGAATATATAGTTTGTATACTGTATATTACTAGTTTATGTTTTTTGAATATTTATTTTTAACAGTAATGTTTTAAAACCTAGATAAATGTTTACGATTTTGATATTATTCGAATTATTAACGTTGATGTATGAAATAGACGCAGACAAATTTGCTTGCAAAAATTATATTATTTTTTTTTGATCAAAGGTTTTCTTATATTGTAGGTATCTAATTGAGTATAGGTTGTTTCATTACTTCTAATACATCATATTTTATAAAATAAATTAAAAAGCTTATTAATAATATTAAATTTAATAAATGTTATTTTAAATTATAATTTTAGGATTATATATATTATTATATTAAGTTTTAAAAATAAATTTATTATATTCACCTTTAATATTTTTTTAAAAAAAATTTATTATATTAATTAAATATTTTTTCTTATCAATTTAAAAATTTATAAAATATATAAAATATATAAGTTACGCAGAGGATCAGGTTAATGATGGCCAGACCCAACATATAGAACAGGCTATGGTATCCTGCGTAGCTATGCAAGCCAAGCATATGGTGAGTGAATCTACAAAAGAATCCTCTACTTCTTTGAACTTCATTTCATCATCTCATATCAAGGAAAAATTCTAAGACTTAGCTTACAATACATTATATGATCCAAACTTTTGTTATAATGTGTAGTTAGCAGGGTTAAATCTACCCCTACTTCCACATCTCCAAACACTTAGTTCCTTTTTAAAATACATTCATTATTATAATTATATACAATTAAACAATTTTAACTATACACTTACAATATCAATTAAAATTGATTATAGTAAATGTTATATACATTTATCATACAAATCTCAACCTTTATTTGAATATTTTTTTCTACAACTATCAGCCTATATTTATTACCTATTTATACTCATTTCTTTTAAATTTTCTCCAATAAACAACAACTTACCAAATATGAATTCAATTATAAAAGAAAATGATATAGACTACTCTTATTTCCAACTAGTAGAAGCTATTCTAAAAGGTTATGATGAAACTATTATAACTAAACACCACTATGATAACATTCAATATAATACCTATTACAACAAATTTTTATTTTACAATCATCTACTACTGCTTTCTCATCCTTAAATTATTATTTCTTTCTTACAATACATCCACAGTTTTGGCTATTTATCTGATAATACTTGTAACTATACATTAACAATTTCTATTAAAAATGATCATAGTAAAGTTCATATTTACTTTCCATTAGAAGCTAAACTATTACTTAATCACTTTATCTTACCAATTCAAGCTATTAGGTATTATCTGAATATTCAGTTAAAATTAAACATATTAATACTAGTTTTTTCTATATTAGCACCTTTAGATCCTATCCTTAGTAATTTAACACAATCTAGAAACTCTAATATCTCACTTTTAAATCTCACAATCTGTACTTACAATGTTCAAGAATACAATAAAAACCTCAAATAGCAAGTTTGGAAGGATTACTGTATCACTCATTCCTTAAATATTATTAGTATCATAGAAACTAAAATAGCAAAAAATAATGCTATTACCAAATTTCATAACTCAAAACATTATTCCTATTACTGGTCATATACTAATGGTTCTAAAGCAAAAACTGTACTTATGATTCATAAACATCTTATATCCCATATATACAATATTCTTACTCTTTCTGACTATGCTACTGTTATAGACCTCTTCTTCAAACATGATTATAAATTCTAAATTATCTCTATATATCTATTATATGAAAACTTATAATTAAAGCTTCAAATTCAAAATACTATTATTCAATAGATCCAAGAAGCTACTAATCAAAACATTCTACTCATAATACTAGATGACTTTAATGTACTATCTAACAACTCTACCTCTTCATCTATCAAATACAAACTACTATAATTTTTTCAATATAATAATATTTATGATCTGGCAGATCATACAAATATCTCTTCTAGGGTGTAACAACCTAGTAAAGTGCATAGGTTGTCAAGCCTCAAGTGGCAGGTCTAAGGTTCAATTCCTACAAATAATGAATTTTGGAAATTATACCTATGTTATAGTAACTGTCTCTTGCCGATTAGTTGAGTTTTGGGTATCTGTAATCTTAAGTACACTAAGTCAGGTCCTACCTGACATTGAGAGCTTAGGTCATCTATGTGAAGTGTAATGTTACATAATACATATACATAGAGAAATGTAAAACCAGTATTGTATAAGGCTTCAGGTAAACTCACGATAAGACTATCAGGCGTAGAAGCCTAAGAAACCGAAGAGATGGAAACTTATTTGAAAATCCTGAGTAAAGAGGTAGCACAAACTTTTGATGATGCCATTGGACTAATAGAAGCCTATGAAACACCTTCATAGGAACTGTCAAATAAACCAGATGACAAAGATGTATAGAGGCACATATGACCAACCAGGCTGCCAGAATCACTGAAGAAAAAGGATACATAAGTATACTATACTGGACTATCTGAATTGGAAGTCTGGAGAGTTGGTTAGTTCCGAGTTGCAGCTAGTAAAAGATGATAAAAAAGAAGTCAAAAAGATGAGTATTAGAGTTTGAATGAACTTTACAAGGGTAATAGCAGTTTAAAGGATAACCCTAACTGCAAGTGTTGGTCTTGGCTATAGCATCAAACCAGGTTAGCAGTTAAAGAAAATACAGCTCACTCTGGTAGGTTTACCTTGAAGATAAAAATAGTCTAAGAATTATAGTCCTATGATTGATAGTGAATAGATCCGGGTCTGTGATTTAATGAAATTAATACTAGGGTTAGATTAGAGAGTTTAAATGAAACATCTAAGCAGGGGTGTTAGGTATGGCAACTGGTAAAGAACCCTTGAGTGGACTCCTTAAATAGGTAATATAAAAAAGTTATATATGTAGCTAGTTGTACACTTGTCTAATAGTTTATTATAGATATGTCTATATAAAACATGTACCTGCTATAAGTATTAATAAAAAGCTCAGACCAAAGAGGTCACCTTAATACCAAAAAAAAAACAAAAACAAATATTTTCTCTTATATCTGGCATAGCAGTAGACATTACAGTACTATTGACTACATTTGGGCCTACCTTCCTTTACTTAAATATCTCAATTCTTTTTACTTGAATGATGCAAAAAACTGTACCCAAAGTAATCACAAAATTCTTATATCTTCTTGGACATTTCTTTATGCCCTTACATGCAAAAACAGACATTCAACTAGAACCAAACATAGAACTTTTAACTATAAAGCAATAAACAAAAAGCAATAGGAAATCTTTGCCAACTAAGTTTCTCTTAACCTTACTATAAACAAAACACCTCTTTTTACTCAAACCTCTGAATCTCTTAAAACTATCTAATATAAAATCCAAACTAGTATTATTAATACTGCTACTAAATGCATTTTTAACAAAAAACAACAATCTGCAATTTTCAAAACTCATTTTTAGCTAAAACTATTTTACTTTATTTAAATCTTAAAAAACTCAATAACATTATTAGACAAGTCAAGTCTCTTTAACTAACTCATTACCCATACCTATACATCTTAATTCTATTACACACTATCTTAACTTAACACATCATCTTAATATACCTCTTATACCTAACTCTTATGAGCTTATACCAAGCTAAATTACTACTACTAATACTGAATAGTAAGCTCTTTACTATGCCCAAAATAAAGAAAACATTAAACAAATCCAAGAACAAATAAATCAGCATATTAATCTTAAATGCTCCAAACTTCAAACTAATCTCAAACTTATAATCAATAGCATACTTAATCATCATAAGGATCCAGTAAAATTTAACAACATAAAAACATCAAATTATATCATTACAAAACCCAAACTAATTAAAGAACATATTCAACATCATTTTGACAACTGGACTGCCTACAAACTTATTAATGATCATGAATTCAATACCAACTAGTTAGCAAAATATAAATCAAAAGCTACTACTAGTTCAGACTATTATAATTCAGCCTTAGCTAACTTTTTACTTGATGAAATTACTAGAACTCTTAATTAACTTCCCAATAACAAAACATGTGAACCATCTGGAATTAGTTATAAAATACTTAAACAGGCTGGTTCTACTTTTCTTTAAGCAATAGTTGCTTTTTTTAATCGATGCATTCAAACTTCTCATATACCTAAGCAATGAAAAGAAGGTCGCATCTTTTCAATATCTAAAAAACCTATTTTTGATGAAAACCTTTCTAATACAAGACCTATCAGTCTTGTTAAACATATTAAAAAACTATACACAAAACTCCTTACTAACTATCTTAATTTAATATTTACACAATACTCTATTCTATCTTCTTACAACTATATTGCTCTACCTGGCAACAGCATATCTATTCTTATATATATACTTAACAATATAATTGAAAATGCTAGCTGCAACAACAAACAATTATGGCTTCTGTCTTAGGATATGAGCAAAGCATATGATTCAGTCAACTTAGAACTTTTTACAAAGTCTCTTAAAGAAGATATTATTGAAAAAACTCTTTCCTGTAGATCACAAAATACTAAGTAAACAAATAATCAGCAAAACATAGACAAGGAAGCACAAAGTAATTAAATCTTTAGTGACTAACAGCTGCCTC